CAGACTCATGCAACCTGCTACAGGCCCAATTTTGTGTGTGTGTGTGTCTTTTTTTCCTTTTTTTAATTTGTTTTTTATGGTTTTGATTTTTTTTTAAATATACAAAATTCCAAAAAAATAAAATAAAAAATAAATTGTTGTACATCTTAGAAAGATCTACAACCCTATATTTTTTATTTGTTTTTTTTGTTTTCGTTTTAGCCCTTAAAAAATCTGTGTGAAACCCAAAACAAAAACACTCATTTCATTTTAGTTTTTGTTTTTTTATTGTGTGTTTATGTTTTTGATTTAAAAAAAAATAGAGTTAAGCATCAAAAAATAAAAATAAAAATACAAGGTTGTAGTCCTCAACAAAAACTAAAACCCCATATTTTTATTTATGTTTTTGGATAATTTTTGGCCCAGGAAAAAAATCATCCCGGACCCCGTTAATTCCCGTTCAACTCGCGTTTGAACGGGAGTTTAACGTGAATTCAACGCGCGTTGAATTTTTCAACGCGAAACCCGCGTTAAATCCAATTTCGGACACACAGCCCGCGGGCACTTGGCGCAAATCCGTCGGTTGTTCTGGCGTCCAGATACCGCTTCTCGGTAGGGACTTGGTCCGTTCTACAGTTGGGACAGACCCATGTCTTTTCACTTCGGTACCTAACGCACTGTCCGTGAGATTTGACCGTATGACACTGACTACACTTTACCCATAAAAGAAAACTGGGCCCTCCCGGATGTGACCCTTCTTGGTCCGAGACCATAGGCAAGGTACATAAGAAACAGGGACTTAGATGTGTTTCAGGGGACGAGTAGGGACTAGACGAGAGAGAGAGGGAGTTGGATGAGGGCAAAGAGATAGCGTCCGCCATCTCCGGCGAAACCTCCATTCCAGACTCAGGCATCGTTCTTGCGCAGCACATGTAGCTCCCCGTAGCGCGGTTTCGTCGCCGCGACTTCTGGCCTCCACGGAATGAGTCGCTCGTTGGCGGGACACTTGTTGGGCGGCAGGAGGCGAGTCAATCCATCGGCGTTACCATGCTGCCGCATGACACGGTGGCGGATGTCGAAGTCATAGTCTTGCAGACGCACCGCCCACCTGCCTAGCGTCCCCGTGTAGTCCATGTTGTTGCATAGGGACAGCAGCGGCTGATGATCCGTTACCAGCACGAATTTCTGGCCGTAAAGATACGGTCGGAAATGCTGGATCCCCCACACCACCGCCAGACATTTGCCTTTGCACGCTTCGTAATTAGCCTGCGCCGGGCTCAGCGTCTTAGACGCATACTCAATGACGTGTTCCCTTCCGTCCGCCCCATGCTGAGTCAGCACCGCCGATATCGCCTAAGGCTGCCAGTCGGTGTGCAGTGCGAACGGTTTTGTCGGGTCGGGACGCGCCAACACAGGAGCAGATGTCAGAGCCTCCTTCAACGCCTGAAACGCCGCTTCGCATTCCGGCGTCCAGATCAGTTGTTCCTCTTTCTTCAACAGGTTCGTGAGGGGCTTCGCTATACCGGCGAACCCCTTGATGAAGCGTCGGTAATAGGATGCCAGCCATAGAAAAGCCCGAACCTGGGTGAGTGTAACCGGCGCCGGGGCGTCTTGAACTGCTGCCACCTTCCTCGGATCCGGTTTTAGTCCATCGACCGTGACGATGTACGCCAAGAATGAGATCTCCGACAAGAAGAACTCGCTTTTCTCCAAGCTCACTTTGAACCCCGCATCCTTTAGTGCATGCAAAACCCACTCAATGTGTTCCACGTGGTACTCTCGTGTGTTTTTGAAAAGACCAAAATATCATCCATATACACAATCACGCAGAAATTGATCAGTGGCTTGGTTAGTCGGGTTTTGTTAACGAACTCAGCGAAGGTCATATTCATGGCCCGCTGAAACGTTGCAGGGGTGTTACAAATTCCCATGGGACACCGGACCCATTGCCACGTGCCCTCAAATAGGACAAAAGCGGTTTTGGGTCGGTCCTCCGGTCGGATTGCGACGTGGTGAAAACCGTGTTGGATATCGAACTTGGAAAAGACTCGAGCGGCCCCGATAGTATCTAGCAAATCGTCGATTCGCGGAAAGGGATACACATCCTTGGTAGTGATAGGCTAAGCGTTCAATTTCCGGTAGTCGATACATACCCGGACCGAACCATTTCGTTTTGGCACGAAGACCACGGAAAAAGACCACGGTCCCAGCGATGGTTCGACCCACCCCAACCGCTCGAATTCCCGTACCCTTTCC